TCTTTCATTTTAACTCCGTTCTTTTCATTATTTATTTCAGGCTCTAAAAGATTTGTACACACATCTGATTCCTATACAGCGGGTGAATATTGCACGGCACCCTAACCGGCCCACTTTTCTTGACCATGTATTCAATATTACTGAGAAGGTCTGGCATTCATAGGCTCTCTTAGTCTCCCATTTCCACTTTTATAATTTATCCCAACTTAAACTTCTTGGGATACCACTGTGAATTATCTCATGATCCACCATTTTATATAATTAAATCTCTAGTTTGTGGAGCTTCATGGTGATCGAGCAGGGTATGATGATCCTGCTGTTGTTACTGGTATTGGAACAATAAATGGTAAAAGGTACATGTTCATGGGTCATCAGAAGGGTAGAAATACAAAGGAGAACATTCAACGCAACTTTGGGATGCCTACTCCCCATGGGTATGAATTTTGGGTAGATGAGTTTATTTACTTCGTGTGATGCTGTGGATAATGAAAAGTTGTCCATATGATTGAAATTTAAGTATATTTCTGAAGGTTGCAACCTGCAAGTTGATATAATTCTTAAGTTTAAGCTCTTGGATAAGAATGTGTTCACTATGGATAAGTTATCACACTCTCTTTTTGACAGTTACCGTAAAGCTCTACGGATGATGTATTACGCAGATCACCATGGATTCCCAATTGTTACTTTCATCGACACTCCAGGGGCATATGCAGACCTTAAATCTGAAGAACTTGGCCAAGTATGGATGAATGTCTTCTCGATTCATACTTTTCTTTTAGCATTGCCTGAAGTGCTTAAGTAAATTGTAAGCTTTACCTGTATTCAGGGTGAAGCCATAGCTCACAACTTGAGGACTATGTTTGGTCTGAAAGTACCAGTTATTTCCATTGTTATGGGGGAAGGTGGCTCTGGTGGTGCTCTGGCCATTGGCTGTGCTAATAAATTGTTAATGCTCGAAAACGCAGTCTTCTATGTTGCCAGGTGATTAAACATTGGCATTTTTTACTTGTAATATTCTGTGTAGTGCAATGAAGCTTAGAACTTGTGGCATTTGGTTAATCAGTAGCACCAACAATAAGCTCCCAAACCTTTTAGATTACTGGTTGCAAATTAAGATTTGACGTATTTTTAATCTGCTGCTACTGTAATTTTAAGACCACAGGTCCACAGCAACGCATAAACTTTCTTGTTTCTGCAGTCTCTTCAATATGCCCACCATTTTTCATTCTACCCTTGTTTGAGATCTTGTACCAGATTGGGCATTGAGAGTTCCTATTGTGTGATTGAAACAACCTTTCACATCATCCTTTTTTTTTAGAGTTAGTGATAAGCAACTGGTTAGTGGTACATATTTTATGTTACTCCATCTCCATACAGGTAATATGCATGGTTCATGAGAGAAACTGTGCACTGCTGTTAAAATTTTGCATTCCAGATTGGTGACTTAATGAGTTTTGAACTGTATATGCTAGTAGAACTCACAAAGGTTTCTATAGGTGAACTTCAAATTGAATGGGCGGGCAGTCGGGTACTTTGCATTGTGTCAGAATGCATGCTGAGTCAAATACTCTCTTTTAAGGGCACTATTCATTGTACTGAATGCAGAATTGACCCTTGAACTCCGTGATGAACACAAAATATCAGATGTTGAGCTGGCATCTTAACCATAATCTTATACAAAAAAATGCATAAAATCGAATAGCAATATTAATTGGAGCAACTAGCATCTGTAATTGTTTCTCTCAACGCTGCAAAATTGATCTGCTACTAGTACTATATGCATTTTCCATTAGAAAATGGGCTCAATGTCATTTCTGAGCATTGACTAGTGCCAGTAAATTTAGTTTTTGGGAGGCTCTCATATTTCAAGGTAAGTTGTAGAGAGGATGAAATTGTTGAAATTAGTGAACCAAGGATAGATTCTCTTTCGCTTGTGTACTTGTCTACCAGGGGCAATCTGTTAAATAACATGTTTAGAAATTGGACTTTATGGCTTACCCTTTTTTAGTTTTTCCTCTGTTGGTAGTTTAGTGAGACATAACCCTGCTTGACTTGAATACATACCATATGACCTTTCAAGTTCCAACGAGTTGCAAAGTTTCTCTCGTAGAATCATTTTTCATTAAAGGATTGTAGTTGCATATCTTTCCTTAATAATTTTGATTACATAATTTTTCTTTTTCTGTTATATGTGCTGATTTGATTTTCTCTTGTTCTGTCTAATCACCCTGGTAAAGTCCAGAAGCATGTGCAGCAATCTTGTGGAAGAGTGCTAAAGCCTCTCCAAAGGTGGTATTACCAATTTACTGACTGGATTTTGTTACAGAAGAGATGCCATAGCTAGAGCTAATCTAGTTGCACTTCGTTTCAGGCAGCTGAGAAGCTTAAGATAACTGCTGGAGAGCTGTGCAAGCTGCAAATTGCAGATGGCATCATTCCTGTAACATTCTTCTTCCCTTTAACTGTACATTTTCACATATTTCCCTTATCCTTGACTATTGGAAAAAGGGGGAAAATGTACCTTTGCATCTCTTTTTAGAAGAAATGGAGCATTCCAAAAAGGACCCATGCAATTGTAATGTGCCTTTTTTTAGGAAGCAGCCAATGATAACACAAATAGTTGGGTGCATGGTGCTCATATGAGATATCTAATGGAATTTTCAATCGCATTATATGCCTCTTTTAAAAATCGTTTGAGCCATTAGGTACTTTACTAGATTGAGGATGCACTTGTTTATGCTTGAAAACTGTTTATATTTGACTGGATTGTTTATTTTTCTAATGAAGTTTCCTTTAATTTGCTTTTCAACTTCAACTTGTGTATGGTATTCTGTGAAATCTTAATTGAATACTGGGGTTGTTGCAGGAGCCACTTGGTGGTGCACATGCAGATCCGTACTGGACCTCACAACAGATAAAAACAACAATTATTGAAACAATGGATGTGAGTAATTCAAATCAGATCTTCCATGAGGTAATAAATTTCAATTAAAATTCTGACTTATAATCTGCCATGTATAGGAACTTGAAAAGATGGACACACGGGAGCTGTTAAAACATCGAATGCTTAAGTTCCGAAAAATTGGTGGATTCCAAGAAGGGATCCCTATTGATCCAAAAAAGAAAGTCAGCATGAAAAAGAAAGAAAACCCTATTGTCCAGCCTGGGAAGACTTCAAACCTGGAGTTGGAGGGTGAGGTTGAGAAACTGAAACAACAGATTTTGAAAGCCAGGGAGTCATCTGGAGGGCCTCCCAAGTTGGGTCTGGATGAGATGGTAGACAAACTGAAAAGAGAGGTTGATCATGAATATTCTGAGGCAGCTAAAGCTATGGGCTTGAAGGACAAAATTACAGTTTTGAGGGAAGAATTTGCAAAAGCAAAGAATTCAGAGGACCAGCTCATGCATCTGGCTGTAAAGGTGAAGATTGATAAGCTTATGGCTGAGTTCAGCCAAAGTCTGTCCACAGCTCCTAATTATGCAAGCCTGAGACATAAGCTTGGCATGTTGAAGGAAATATCTGAAGCCAAGAATTTCCAAGAGATGGACAACAAGGCAGATTCAATGAAGCAGGAAATCAATAAAAGATTCAAACAGGTTATTGACCAGCCTCATGTGAAGCAGAAAATTGAGGCACTGAAGGCTGAAATTGAAAATTCTGGGGTGTCTGCAGTTGAAGATTTAGACCAGGGGCTGAAGGAGAAAATTGTACAGCTGAAGGAAGACATAGAGTTAGAATTTGCTGATGTTCTCAAGTCTTTTGGTTTACATGTCTACCCTCCTTCATTATTAGATGTCAAGGCAAAGGTAGGTCAATTTAATGAAGAAATTAAGATGATAATGGAAGATGTTATAAATTCATCTGATTTGAAAAACAAGATTGAGCTGTTGAAGATGGAAGCAGCAAAGGCCGGGAAAACACCTGATTCGGAATCAAAAGGTAAGATTCAGGCTTTGGAGCAGCAAATAAAACAGACCCTTTCAGAGGTTATGAATTCCTCAGTATTAAAAGATAGGCATGATAAGCTGAAGGGAGAGATTTCTGATGCCCTTGAATTTTCTGGACGATCGAATGGAAGTTTGATCAAAGAAAATCATAACGATGGCAATTCAACGTATGGTGGATCAAAAGTAGAGACTAAGTTAGAGGCAAGCCGCAGCTTTGTCTGAAGTAAGTTCATATCTTCTCATAATTTCTCTAGTCTCCAGTCTCTCTTTTGTTCGTTCCTTCTTTAATTTGGAATTGAGAAAGTAGATTTTTTTAAAACTGGAGCTCTTTAAATGATTTCTAAGAGACAAATTACCAGCCTGTCTCTGTGACTGGATGCTTTCCTCTTTCTGTAAAAGAGAACAACCTCAGATTCTTGCTTGAAGTGTGCATCATTCGGCATTTTGTTTGTCTCAACCGGAGTGGATAATTGGAAGCTGGTTTGAATTTTATTCACTCCGATGGTGATTTTGAAGGACACACCTATTGTTTATGATTTAGTGAATTCATTTCATATGTTCGATTATTTGTTGAGTCTCTTTATCATTTACCATGTTAATTCAGTTCTTATAACATGCACTCATTTTTGCTTTTATTCGTAAATATTACAGGTGAAATGGTGAGGAACTGACATGGCAGTCGATCAATCTATTGAAACTCTATTATCGGTGTCTGGAAGATGGAACTTCCTTCAACTTGCCATCTTTTAACTGGCTTCCAGCATAATCTCCTTGCAGAGTCTGGATTTTTCGTCTGCTGGAACACGAGAGTCATTTGGATATCAGCTTATATTCCTCAAATTTTCCCATGTTGAATAACTTTATATTTTTCTATCACCTTCCTGTGTTTTATTTTCCTACTTTTTTTTTTTGGTTTTGGAAGATTAAAGCAGTCTTTCTATTGAAACTAATAGACACAGAACAGTGTATAAATTATTTGAGTTCCAGGAAGAGAAAGATGGGGTTTAGATTCCCCAACTATTTCATCTTTTTTCCTACCAAAAGGAGAAAAAATGTTGAGTGAAACGCCATGGAAACGAAATAGAAGAAGCAACAAATGCCTACCAACTGATGAGGGGCTAACGAATGACAACCTCTGTGGCCTATCTCTGGACCCTAGAGTCCCAGACCATGGAACCGGTCAAAAGAAGACAGTAGTCAACCACCGTCTTTTTGTGATGGAAGCAGTCAAAAGAAGACAGTAATCAACCACCGTTTTACCACCGTTTTTTTGTGATTTTCTTATGCAAGTACAGCACAAGGCTCAGTCAGCACTCATGGAGCCTGTGTTAGACTGCTATAGTTACAATTATCCCGAGTTTCCAAGCATATTTTATCGAAAACATAAAATGAGCTAAACTTGAATAAGATCTTATTGAATATCACGACAAACAAGATATCCGAAAAGTTCTTCCACNATTTGTTTCGTAAGAAGAGAAAAATTGAGAGATTAAGTTCAAAAACTCATAAACATTTCAATTCTAGTAAGAGGTAATCTCAATTTTTTACCCCTTGCAAAAGTCTTGAATATTTTTTGTAAAGCTCATTTTAAAAACCGAACCCAAGGTCGGCTCGTTTATCACCCAACTTCTAGATTCCAACCCTTCAACTGCCAAAGCGAACAGCGCTGGCTAATTATACCACATAGGAAGTATCGCCTTTTGCTCGTTCTCTCACTTCAACTGTGAATAAACCAAACAGCTCCTTCGCGGACGATCTTCACGAAGCTTGCATTCTCTCTCTCTCTCTCTCTCTCTNCTTCAACTGTGAATAAACCAAACAGCTCCTTCGCGGACGATCTTCACGAAGCTTGCACTCTCTCTCTCTCTCTCTCTCTCTCTCTCTCTATCCTCCTCCTACTGTCTATTACATTTTGGAGGAGGACACCAAAAAGTCCTTCGATTTACAACTCAGATTCTTCGCCATCCGGCGACCTCGACCTCTCTCCGGAGAATCTCGAGCTTTGTTCTCTTTCATTCCTCCCGTATTCAACTTCACATTTTTCCAGCCAGGTTTGTTTCGCAGCAATCTCGAGGTTTTATTCAATGCATGTCGGTTACGTTTTCCTGTTCTTATGATTAATTGATTGATCCTCTGTTTGGCGGCTGAGAAAATTGTAATGACGATCGTTTTTGCAATTTCCAGAATTAATGCTTTGTGTGGTTTTGGTCCTCGTGAATATTTCTCCAACTAGACTCAGCTAAGCAAGATACTTATAATAGGCTGCATTTCCTGTTCCTGGAGTCTTAAGTGTCGGACAATCTAACATCCTGAACTCAGCAACTAAAAGAGCATACCGTGCTTTACTTCTTGAAAAAGTTTCCCTTTTGTAAATTCATATATTCTCTTGAAACTCTTTTCACTCTAGTTTCTTTTTTACTTTTGTTGCGGGGAAAATTGCAGGAAAAAAAATGTATTTTTGAATCCTTGTTTTCACATGCTTTGCTTTTCATGAATTCTGAATTATTGATCTTATGAAAGCCCAGAGTTGTATCAAGCTCAATTTGCAGAATTCGTTTTGTTGTTCCTTGTCCTTTCTCAGCTATCAAACGGAGCACTGTGTGCAATTCTTGATTTTGCTAATGATCAATATTCTATTGGAGACATTAAATTTGAGACTTTTTGGGTTGAGTAGATTTGAGGATCTGAAGTGATTTATCTGGGCATTTGGAGGATGGCTTCAATCTCACATTCCCCAGCAACATTTACTGGAAATTTGGCTTGTGGAACTTCAGCTTCGGATCTTCTCCAAAGCTCAAGTAATGGTGTCAGTGGTTTGCCACTGAGAGCCCTAGGGAGGGCAAGATTGGGAGCAAAGAGGAGGGATCTTAGAGTCTGTGCCAAGTTAAGGAAGGTGAAAAAGCACGAGTATCCGTGGCCCAATGATGCGGATCCAAATGTAAAGGGTGGAGTCCTTAGTCATCTCTCGCATTTCAAGCCCTTGAAAGAAAAGCCGAAACCAGTTACTTTGGATTTTGAGAAGCCTCTTATGGACCTACAGAGAAAAATCATTGATGTATGTCCTTCTAATGGATGTGATATGGTTAATTGATTGAGAAATGAAAGGGTGTGGTTGAAGATTACTTTTTTGTTGGGTGCAGGTGCAAAAGATGGCAAATGAAACTGGCCTGGACTTCAGTGATCAAATCATCTCATTAGAGACTAAATATCAGCAGGTTTGATGAATGGTGCAAGTGATTTACACTACCTGTTTTTAAGTTTGAAAAAATATGCTACCATTATTCTGTGCCTTTTGCCTCCAGTTGCAATATATGAGTAATGGGTCCAAAATTTACTGCATGCATAATGCTCATATCATCTTACTTTCAATTTATGTTATGCATCTTGTCAAGAGTCAAGAAAAGTGTGGTTTATACGAAATACAATCCCAAAGCCATTGTCTAGTTTAATGGTATGAAGTAATGAAGCTTGCTCGTGATGTCCTTTCTTTATATCAGGATATTGAGTTGACCTTGTACCTTATTGGAAGTCCTACTGTGGGATTCTTTTCATTCTGGTTCATGACTTGCTAGTTGCGCTTGAAGTTTCTGTGAGATTCATTTCTTTGTACCGACTGATCAGTTTGCCTAATTTGAGCTCATGTTGCAAATCTCTTGTTATTCAATTTTTATAAACGTAGAAGCACGGATCATTGACATTTACTGATTTGAAACTTCTTTCGTTGAGTTCATGTAAAGCTCATAAACCATGCTAACAAAATTTCGACTTCTCAAAAATTGAAGGAATGAAAAGATTTTCGGTTTTCTCATTTGGGAAATGCAGAAATGTGAAGGTTTATGTTAAAATCTAAAGTATGCCCTACTTGTTTATAACTCCTCTTCACCACATTTGTTCACTGCTCTTGCACCTCCAACTCCAACAGGAACTTCTTCCCCTTCTCTATTCGCATCATTCTCATATGCAGTCTCTACACTTGGGGAAAAATAGGCTTTTTGACCGCATTAACAAGTGATTGCATTATAAATACAAATTTGAGTACTAATCTGAGGAACAATCTTAGTTTCTGCATCTTGTATGGTGTCTCCCAGTCCACCACAGCTTCTCATGTTCCACTGTAGCCAGCTAGCCCTCAGTTGAAGCAGTGATGGTATCTCAAATGCTTGTAAATGTTTGTTTTCTGTACAATTTCACATTCATTTTATACGAAATAGAGATGGCAAAAAAGGCAAATTCCACTTGCTTTCTCCCTGAAGAACAAAAGTAATGCGTTATATAGAAAAATCAAAGTAAGATGGATATCTTGATTCTCATACGCATTCATCTGCTTTTTTCTGGACATAAGATTCTCCTACCCATGAATTTTAATTTTCCCAGTGGAATATGACTTTTAATGCACTCGCGCCATGGAACATGTTTCATTTCGGCGGACGTCAAACGTGTAACGAGATTATGGCACTAGATATAATAAATCATTATGAGGGTTTTTATTCCATCATTTCAAATAGAATAGTTGTGCTTTGATCTCAAAGGACGGAAGGAAAGTCTCAAATATGAAATACTATCTGTTTGTAATGCCTGAAGCATATGTATGATCTCAGTGCTTGACCTCAATAGTTTGTTATTATTGTCAACCATGGTATGCAGCTGTCAATTCTACACCAGTCTTTGCAATATGGATTTAAAGCATTGTAAATAATGAAGTGAACTCTTTTACTCTGCCACTTGTTTATAGGATGTTAATGCAACTGTCTTAAGGCACTGAAGGAAACTATCACATGCACCAACGTTGTGGCCATTATATCTTCTCAGTGCTTGGGTCCATCTTTCATTTTAACTCCGTTCTTTTCATTATTTATTTCAGGCTCTAAAAGATTTGTACACACATCTGATTCCTATACAGCGGGTGAATATTGCACGGCACCCTAACCGGCCCACTTTTCTTGACCATGTATTCAATATTACTGAGAAGGTCTGGCATTCATAGGCTCTCTTAGTCTCCCATTTCCACTTTTATAATTTATCCCAACTTAAACTTCTTGGGATACCACTGTGAATTATCTCATGATCCACCATTTTATATAATTAAATCTCTAGTTTGTGGAGCTTCATGGTGATCGAGCAGGGTATGATGATCCTGCTGTTGTTACTGGTATTGGAACAATAAATGGTAAAAGGTACATGTTCATGGGTCATCAGAAGGGTAGAAATACAAAGGAGAACATTCAACGCAACTTTGGGATGCCTACTCCCCATGGGTATGAATTTTGGGTAGATGAGTTTATTTACTTCGTGTGATGCTGTGGATAATGAAAAGTTGTCCATATGATTGAAATTTAAGTATATTTCTGAAGGTTGCAACCTGCAAGTTGATATAATTCTTAAGTTTAAGCTCTTGGATAAGAATGTGTTCACTATGGATAAGTTATCACACTCTCTTTTTGACAGTTACCGTAAAGCTCTACGGATGATGTATTACGCAGATCACCATGGATTCCCAATTGTTACTTTCATCGACACTCCAGGGGCATATGCAGACCTTAAATCTGAAGAACTTGGCCAAGTATGGATGAATGTCTTCTCGATTCATACTTTTCTTTTAGCATTGCCTGAAGTGCTTAAGTAAATTGTAAGCTTTACCTGTATTCAGGGTGAAGCCATAGCTCACAACTTGAGGACTATGTTTGGTCTGAAAGTACCAGTTATTTCCATTGTTATGGGGGAAGGTGGCTCTGGTGGTGCTCTGGCCATTGGCTGTGCTAATAAATTGTTAATGCTCGAAAACGCAGTCTTCTATGTTGCCAGGTGATTAAACATTGGCATTTTTTACTTGTAATATTCTGTGTAGTGCAATGAAGCTTAGAACTTGTGGCATTTGGTTAATCAGTAGCACCAACAATAAGCTCCCAAACCTTTTAGATTACTGGTTGCAAATTAAGATTTGACGTATTTTTAATCTGCTGCTACTGTAATTTTAAGACCACAGGTCCACAGCAACGCATAAACTTTCTTGTTTCTGCAGTCTNACGTATTTTTAATCTGCTGCTACTGTAATTTTAAGACCACAGGTCCACAGCAACGCAAAAACTTTCTTGTTTCTGCAGTCTAGCTTCAATATGCCCACCATTTTTCATTCTACCCTTGTTTGAGATCTTGTACCAGATTGGGCATTGAGAGTTCCTATTGTGTGATTGAAACAACCTTTCACATCATCCTCTTTTTTTAGAGTTAGTGATAAGCAACAGGTTAGTGGTACATATTTTATGTTACTCCATCTCCATACAGGTAATATGCATGGTTCATGAGAGAAACTGTGCACCNCAGATTGGGCATTGAGAGTTCCTATTGTGTGATTGAAACAACCTTTCACATCATCCTTTTTTTTTAGAGTTAGTGATAAGCAACTGGTTAGTGGTACATATTTTATGTTACTCCATCTCCATACAGGTAATATGCATGGTTCATGAGAGAAACTGTGCACTGCTGTTAAAATTTTGCATTCCAGATTGGTGACTTAATGAGTTTTGAACTGTATATGCTAGTAGAACTCACAAAGGTTTCTATAGGTGAACTTCAAATTGAATGGGCGGGCAGTCGGGTACTTTGCATTGTGTCAGAATGCATGCTGAGTCAAATACTCTCTTTTAAGGGCACTATTCATTGTACTGAATGCAGAATTGACCCTTGAACTCCGTGATGAACACAAAATATCAGATGTTGAGCTGGCATCTTAACCATAATCTTATACAAAAAAATGCATAAAATCGAATAGCAATATTAATTGGAGCAACTAGCATCTGTAATTGTTTCTCTCAACGCTGCAAAATTGATCTGCTACTAGTACTATATGCATTTTCCATTAGAAAATGGGCTCAATGTCATTTCTGAGCATTGACTAGTGCCAGTAAATTTAGTTTTTGGGAGGCTCTCATATTTCAAGGTAAGTTGTAGAGAGGATGAAATTGTTGAAATTAGTGAACCAAGGATAGATTCTCTTTCGCTTGTGTACTTGTCTACCAGGGGCAATCTGTTAAATAACATGTTTAGAAATTGGACTTTATGGCTTACCCTTTTTTAGTTTTTCCTCTGTTGGTAGTTTAGTGAGACATAACCCTGCTTGACTTGAATACATACCATATGACCTTTCAAGTTCCAACGAGTTGCAAAGTTTCTCTCGTAGAATCATTTTTCATTAAAGGATTGTAGTTGCATATCTTTCCTTAATAATTTTGATTACATAATTTTTCTTTTTCTGTTATATGTGCTGATTTGATTTTCTCTTGTTCTGTCTAATCTCCCTGGTAAAGTCCAGAAGCATGTGCAGCAATCTTGTGGAAGAGTGCTAAAGCCTCTCCAAAGGTGGTATTACCAATTTACTGACTGGATTTTGTTACAGAAGAGATGCCATAGCTAGAGCTAATCTAGTTGCACTTCGTTTCAGGCAGCTGAGAAGCTTAAGATAACTGCTGGAGAGCTGTGCAAGCTGCAAATTGCAGATGGCATCATTCCTGTAACATTCTTCTTCCCTTTAACTGTACATTTTCACATATTTCCCTTATCCTTGACTATTGGAAAAAGGGGGAAAATGTACCTTTGCATCTCTTTTTAGAAGAAATGGAGCATTCCAAAAAGGACCCATGCAATTGTAATGTGCCTTTTTTTAGGAAGCAGCCAATGATAACACAAATAGTTGGGTGCATGGTGCTCATATGAGATATCTAATGGAATTTTCAATCGCATTATATGCCTCTTTTAAAAATCGTTTGAGCCATTAGGTACTTTACTAGATTGAGGATGCACTTGTTTATGCTTGAAAACTGTTTATATTTGACTGGATTGTTTATTTTTCTAATGAAGTTTCCTTTAATTTGCTTTTCAACTTCAACTTGTGTATGGTATTCTGTGAAATCTTAATTGAATACTGGGGTTGTTGCAGGAGCCACTTGGTGGTGCACATGCAGATCCGTACTGGACCTCACAACAGATAAAAACAACAATTATTGAAACAATGGATGTGAGTAATTCAAATCAGATCTTCCATGAGGTAATAAATTTCAATTAAAATTCTGACTTATAATCTGCCATGTATAGGAACTTGAAAAGATGGACACACGGGAGCTGTTAAAACATCGAATGCTTAAGTTCCGAAAAATTGGTGGATTCCAAGAAGGGATCCCTATTGATCCAAAAAAGAAAGTCAGCATGAAAAAGAAAGAAAACCCTATTGTCCAGCCTGGGAAGACTTCAAACCTGGAGTTGGAGGGTGAGGTTGAGAAACTGAAACAACAGATTTTGAAAGCCAGGGAGTCATCTGGAGGGCCTCCCAAGTTGGGTCTGGATGAGATGGTAGACAAACTGAAAAGAGAGGTTGATCATGAATATTCTGAGGCAGCTAAAGCTATGGGCTTGAAGGACAAAATTACAGTTTTGAGGGAAGAATTTGCAAAAGCAAAGAATTCAGAGGACCAGCTCATGCATCTGGCTGTAAAGGTGAAGATTGATAAGCTTATGGCTGAGTTCAGCCAAAGTCTGTCCACAGCTCCTAATTATGCAAGCCTGAGACATAAGCTTGGCATGTTGAAGGAAATATCTGAAGCCAAGAATTTCCAAGAGATGGACAACAAGGCAGATTCAATGAAGCAGGAAATCAATAAAAGATTCAAACAGGTTATTGACCAGCCTCATGTGAAGCAGAAAATTGAGGCACTGAAGGCTGAAATTGAAAATTCTGGGGTGTCTGCAGTTGAAGATTTAGACCAGGGGCTGAAGGAGAAAATTGTACAGCTGAAGGAAGACATAGAGTTAGAATTTGCTGATGTTCTCAAGTCTTTTGGTTTACATGTCTACCCTCCTTCATTATTAGATGTCAAGGCAAAGGTAGGTCAATTTAATGAAGAAATTAAGATGATAATGGAAGATGTTATAAATTCATCTGATTTGAAAAACAAGATTGAGCTGTTGAAGATGGAAGCAGCAAAGGCCGGGAAAACACCTGATTCGGAATCAAAAGGTAAGATTCAGGCTTTGGAGCAGCAAATAAAACAGACCCTTTCAGAGGTTATGAATTCCTCAGTATTAAAAGATAGGCATGATAAGCTGAAGGGAGAGATTTCTGATGCCCTTGAATTTTCTGGACGATCGAATGGAAGTTTGATCAAAGAAAATCATAACGATGGCAATTCAACGTATGGTGGATCAAAAGTAGAGACTAAGTTAGAGGCAAGCCGCAGCTTTGTCTGAAGTAAGTTCATATCTTCTCATAATTTCTCTAGTCTCCAGTCTCTCTTTTGTTCGTTCCTTCTTTAATTTGGAATTGAGAAAGTAGATTTTTTTAAAACTGGAGCTCTTTAAATGATTTCTAAGAGACAAATTACCAGCCTGTCTCTGTGACTGGATGCTTTCCTCTTTCTGTAAAAGAGAACAACCTCAGATTCTTGCTTGAAGTGTGCATCATTCGGCATTTTGTTTGTCTCAACCGGAGTGGATAATTGGAAGCTGGTTTGAATTTTATTCACTCCGATGGTGATTTTGAAGGACACACCTATTGTTTATGATTTAGTGAATTCATTTCATATGTTCGATTATTTGTTGAGTCTCTTTATCATTTACCATGTTAATTCAGTTCTTATAACATGCACTCATTTTTGCTTTTATTCGTAAATATTACAGGTGAAATGGTGAGGAACTGACATGGCAGTCGATCAATCTATTGAAACTCTATTATCGGTGTCTGGAAGATGGAACTTCCTTCAACTTGCCATCTTTTAACTGGCTTCCAGCATAATCTCCTTGCAGAGTCTGGATTTTTCGTCTGCTGGAACACGAGAGTCATTTGGATATCAGCTTATATTCCTCAAATTTTCCCATGTTGAATAACTTTATATTTTTCTATCACCTTCCTGTGTTTTATTTTCCTACTTTTTTTTTTTGGTTTTGGAAGATTAAAGCAGTCTTTCTATTGAAACTAATAGACACAGAACAGTGTATAAATTATTTGAGTTCCAGGAAGAGAAAGATGGGGTTTAGATTCCCCAACTATTTCATCTTTTTTCCTACCAAAAGGAGAAAAAATGTTGAGTGAAACGCCATGGAAACGAAATAGAAGAAGCAACAAATGCCTACCAACTGATGAGGGGCTAACGAATGACAACCTCTGTGACCTATCTCTGGACCCTAGAGTCCCAGACCATGGAACCGGTCAAAAGAAGACAGTAGTCGACCACCGTCTTTTTGTGATGGAAGCAGTCAAAAGAAGACAGTAATCAACCACCGTTTTTTTGTGATTTTCTTATGCAAGTACAGCACAAGGGCTCAGTCAGCACTCATGGAGCCTGTGTTAGACTGCTATAGTTACAATTATCCTGAGTTTCCAAGCATATTTTATCGAACATAAAATGAGCTAAACTTGAATAAGATCTTATCGAATATCACGACAAACAAGATATCCGAAAAGTTCTTCCATNCTGCTGTTAAAATTTTGCATTCCAGATTGGTGACTTAATGAGTTTTGAACTGTATATGCTAGTAGAACTCACAAAGGTTTCTATAGGTGAACTTCAAATTGAATGGGCGGGCAGTCGGGTACTTTGCATTGTGTCAGAATGCATGCTGAGTCAAATACTCTCTTTTAAGGGCACTATTCATTGTACTGAATGCAGAATTGACCCTTGAACTCCGTGATGAACACAAAATATCAGATGTTGAGCTGGCATCTTAACCATAATCTTATACAAAAAAATGCATAAAATCGAATAGCAATATTAATTGGAGCAACTAGCATCTGTAATTGTTTCTCTCAACGCTGCAAAATTGATCTGCTACTAGTACTATATGCATTTTCCATTAGAAAATGGGCTCAATGTCATTTCTGAGCATTGACTAGTGCCAGTAAATTTAGTTTTTGGGAGGCTCTCATATTTCAAGGTAAGTTGTAGAGAGGATGAAATTGTTGAAATTAGTGAACCAAGGATAGATTCTCTTTCGCTTGTGTACTTGTCTACCAGGGGCAATCTGTTAAATAACATGTTTAGAAATTGGACTTTATGGCTTACCCTTTTTTAGTTTTTCCTCTGTTGGTAGTTTAGTGAGACATAACCCTGCTTGACTTGAATACATACCATATGACCTTTCAAGTTCCAACGAGTTGCAAAGTTTCTCTCGTAGAATCATTTTTCATTAAAGGATTGTAGTTGCATATCTTTCCTTAATAATTTTGATTACATAATTTTTCTTTTTCTGTTATATGTGCTGATTTGATTTTCTCTTGTTCTGTCTAATCTCCCTGGTAAAGTCCAGAAGCATGTGCAGCAATCTTGTGGAAGAGTGCTAAAGCCTCTCCAAAGGTGGTATTACCAATTTACTGACTGGATTTTGTTACAGAAGAGATGCCATAGCTAGAGCTAATCTAGTTGCACTTCGTTTCAGGCAGCTGAGAAGCTTAAGATAACTGCTGGAGAGCTGTGCAAGCTGCAAATTGCAGATGGCATCATTCCTGTAACATTCTTCTTCCCTTTAACTGTACATTTTCACATATTTCCCTTATCCTTGACTATTGGAAAAAGGGGGAAAATGTACCTTTGCATCTCTTTTTAGAAGAAATGGAGCATTCCAAAAAGGACNATTCCTGTAACATTCTTCTTCCCTTTAACTGTACATTTTCACATATTTCCCTTATCCATGACTATTGCAAAAAGGGGGAAAATGTACCTTTGCATCTCTTTTTAGAAGAAATGGAGCATTCCAAAAAGGACCCATGCAATTGTAATGTGCCTTTTTTTAGGAAGCAGCCAATGATAACACAAATAGTTGGGTGCATGGTGCTCATATGAGATATCTAATGGAATTTTCAATCGCATTATATGCCTCTTTTAAAAATCGTTTGAGCCATTAGGTACTTTACTAGATTGAGGATGCACTTGTTTATGCTTGAAAACTGTTTATATTTGACTGGATTGTTTATTTTTCTAATGAAGTTTCCTTTAATTTGCTTTTCAACTTCAACTTGTGTATGGTATTCTGTGAAAACTTAATTGAATATTGGGGTTGTTGCAGGAGCCACTTGGTGGTGCACATGCAGATCCGTACTGGACCTCACAACAGATAAAAACAACAATTATTGAAACAATGGATGTGAGTAATTCAAATCAGATCTTCCATGAGGTAATAAATTTCAATTAAAATTCTGACTTATAATCTGCCATGTATAGGAACTTGAAAAGATGGACACACGGGAGCTGTTAAAACATCGAATGCTTAAGTTCCGAAAAATTGGTGGATTCCAAGAAGGGATCCCTATTGATCCAAAAAAGAAAGTCAGCATGAAAAAGAAAGAAAACCCTATTGTCCAGCCTGGGAAGACTTCAAACCTGGAGTTGGAGGGTGAGGTTGAGAAACTGAAACAACAGATTTTGAAAGCCAGGGAGTCATCTGGAGGGCCTCCCAAGTTGGGTCTGGATGAGATGGTAGACAAACTGAAAAGAGAGGTTGATCATGAATATTCTGAGGCAGCTAAAGCTATGGGCTTGAAGGACAAAATTACAGTTTTGAGGGAAGAATTTGCAAAAGCAAAGAATTCAGAGGACCAGCTCATGCATCTGGCTGTAAAGGTGAAGATTGATAAGCTTATGGCTGAGTTCAGCCAAAGTCTGTCCACAGCTCCTAATTATGCAAGCCTGAGACATAAGCTTGGCATGTTGAAGGAAATATCTGAAGCCAAGAATTTCCAAGAGATGGACAACAAGGCAGATTCAATGAAGCAGGAAATCAATAAACGATTCAAACAGGTTATTGACCAGCCTCATGTGAAGCAGAAAATTGAGGCACTGAAGGCTGAAATTGAAAATTCTGGGGTGTCTGCAGTTGAAGATTTAGACCAGGGGCTGAAGGAGAAAATTGTACAGCTGAAGGAAGACATAGAGTTAGAATTTGCTGATGTTCTCAAGTCTTTTGGTTTACATGTCTACCCTCCTTCATTATTAGATGTCAAGGCAAAGGTAGGTCAATTTAATGAAGAAATTAAGATGATAATGGAAGATGTTATAAATTCATCTGATTTGAAAAACAAGATTGAGCTGTTGAAGATGGAAGCAGCAAAGGCCGGGAAAACACCTGATTCGGAATCAAAAGGTAAGATTCAGGCTTTGGAGCAGCAAATAAAACAGACCCTTTCAGAGGTTATGAATTCCTCAGTATTAAAAGATAGGCATGATAAGCTGAAGGGAGAGATTTCTGATGCCCTTGAATTTTCTGGACGATCGAATGGAAGTTTGATCAAAGAAAATCATAACGATGGCAATTCAACGTATGGTGGATCAAAAGTAGAGACTAAGTTAGAGGCAAGCCGCAGCTTTGTCTGAAGTAAGTTCATATCTTCTCATAATTTCTCTAGTCTCCAGTCTCTCTTTTGTTCGTTCCTTCTTTAATTTGGAATTGAGAAAGTAGATTTTTTTAAAACTGGAGCTCTTTAAATGATTTCTAAGAGACAAATTACCAGCCTGTCTCTGTGACTGGATGCTTTCCTCTTTCTGTAAAAGAGAACAACCTCAGATTCTTGCTTGAAGTGTGCATCATTCGGCATTTTGTTTGTCTCAACCGGAGTGGATAATTGGAAGCTGGTTTGAATTTTATTCACTCCGATGGTGATTTTGAAGGACACACCTATTGTTTATGATTTAGTGAATTCATTTCATATGTTCGATTATTTGTTGAGTCTCTTTATCATTTACCATGTTAATTCAGTTCTTATAACATGCACTCATTTTTGTTTTTATTCGTAAATATTACAGGTGAAATGGTGAGGAACTGACATGGCAGTCGATCAATCTATTGAAACTCTATTATCGGTGTCTGGAAGATGGAACTTCCTTCAACTTGCCATCTTTTAACTGGCTTCCAGCATAATCTCCTTGCAGAGTCTGGATTTTTCGTCTGCTGGAACACGAGAGTCATTTGGATATCAGCTTATATTCCTCAAATTTTCCCATGTTGAATAACTTTATATTTTTCTATCACCTTCCTGTGTTTTATTTTCCTACTTTTTTTTTTTGGTTTTGGAAGATTAAAGCAGTCTTTCTATTGAAACTAATAGACACAGAACAGTGTATAAATTATTTGAGTTCCAGGAAGAGAAAGATGGGGTTTAGATTCCCCAACTATTTCATCTTTTTTCCTACCAAAAGGAGAAAAAATGTTGAGTGAAACGCCATGGAAACGAAATAGAAGAAGCAACAAATGCCTACCAACTGATGAGGGGCTAACGAATGACAACCTCTGTGGCCTATCTCTGGACCCTAGAGTCCCAGACCATGGAACCGGTCAAAAGAAGACAGTAGTCAACCACCGTCTTTTTGTGATGGAAGCAGTCAAAAGAAGACAGTAATCAACCACCGTTTTACCACCGTTTTTTTGTGATTTTCTTATGCAAGTACAGCACAAGGCTCAGTCAGCACTCATGGAGCCTGTGTTAGACTGCTATAGTTACAATTATCCCGAGTTTCCAAGCATATTTTATCGAAAACATAAAATGAGCTAAACTTGAATAAGATCTTATTGAATATCACGACAAACAAGATATCCGAAAAGTTCTTCCACTTGATTAAAAATAAGTTAAAATCCTGACATTACATGCACACATTGAAATATAATATCTCAATACAGAAAAGGAATTACAGCTTTCCTATCCTTGGGATAATCCTCTCCAAACTTCTCCAAATACCACATGTGATTCGCACGTGCCCTGGGTACCAAGTTGGCACTCGTGTACAGAAAAAACCCAAACCCGGCCCAAGACCAAGTCATAAAAGCCCAGCCCAACCATTCCACAATCTCCCCAAAATAATTTGGACAGCTCACCAACTCAAACCACCCTTCCCTTGGTATCTTATACCCACGACCTTGGCTTTTAAGGCCCACCAATACAATATCTGACTGAATATTCACCGCCATACCATTTATAAAAATCGCCAACCCGCCGGAAAACCGCCACCAAAACCATCGGTCAATATCGTACTCGGCATAGTGAGAGACCCATCTTGCTTGCAAGTAAGAATTCAGAAGGTTGAATGCGAAGGCCATCAGGGCAACACTGACCGGCAAACCACTAGCGCTTTTCCTGTCGGAAGGATCACCTTCTGTGGTTTTCCGGTGATGGGTCTTGAAATAGAGGCGGAGAGGATAGACGCAGGTCCTGTGGAGGTAGTGGAGGAGGAAGGGTGATATTAGGATGAGAGATCTTGGGTTGGAGTGGTGTTGGCCTGAAGGGAAGAGGAGGAAGGTGAGCCAGATGGTGGGGCTTTCCATGAGGAACCAGGCCAAGGCTGGGGGTATGGTGGGGCCCCACCCTGGACGGTGGTGCTTGCCATATGGGGCTTGGAGGAAGCGGAGGGAGACGTAGGTGGGTGGTCCGATGAGGTAGAGAAAGAGGAGGCTATAGTGGAAGAGGTTTTGATCGGAGGCCATGTTCGGATTTTTGGGTTGTGTGATTATGTGGTTCCAATTCACAACGTTCTGTTTCTATTTAGGTCTTAAATTATATTATTTGTATTAATTAAACTTATAAATTATATTTTGCGACAATTTAACTCTTAAATTATACAATTTGTTTTAATGTGACCTTTCCATCTAAATTTGCCAACTTTGACGGAATTACTCCCGTGCAAGTCACATGGGTCTGAGATTAGGGTATA